CCCCCGCACCCCAGCCGCCTGTTTGGTCGACCAACAAGATCCACAAGGATGCCGCAGAAGTCACTGCGTGTATCGGATTTCCTCCATGGTGGGAGGATTTGAGAGCTTTGTGCAGGATGCTGAAGCCTATCATGGATATGTTGAGGTTGGTCGACAGCGACACACGCCAGATAAGCAAGATTTTGCGTCGTTAGGAGGTGATCATCGCATCTTGCTTGTCTGCGTGCCACGACATCGATTGGGAGCAGCAAGACGCTATTTTGCAGGTGTTCGACAAACGACGCACCATGTTCCAGACACCAGCCCACACAACAGCCATCTTGTTGGATCCTGAGTTCCGAGACCCGACGTTGAACGACGACCAAGAGGTGCAACAGGGATTGATCGAAGCCTTGGTCCAGTTCGGCTACCAAAGGGATCGACTCAGCATAGAGAGGTCCTTATTGAGGTCGACAAGTTCCATACGAAGGAGCCTTCTTTTGATGATGTCAACATGCGGCCAGCGCTAAATAGCTACAGCCACAGTGCCTGTTTTTGGTCCACAAAGAGTGTGAAGTACCCTCACACGGTCGTCTTTGCCGGTAGGATCCCTCGCATCTGGGCAACTGCATCACCGTGCGAGAGAGCAGGGTCTCGTCGGAGCTTCATTCATTCGAAGTCACGCAACAGGTTGGAGGTTGCTTTGGCTGAGAAACTCTTGCGGTGTCACTGGAACCTTAGACTACTCGATAGACCGTCGTTGTGTGACGATGCTCCTGCTGACAGGCCCGATGCCTTCGGGGACTGGGTGCATTATTGGCAGGCCGTGGAGGAGGAGGTGGCAGTGGACGAGCAGCTCGTCAGAGGTAGTGGTGCACTGGCGAGGGTGATGGAGGAGGAGTTGACTCACGCCAGAGAGAGGATGCACATCGTTTCCCGCATGAGAGCCATGTCTCGTGTGGCGGAGTCCGACAGGAGGTGATGAAGGGGTGGAGGTCGTGGACGTGGCGGGTGTGGGCGAGTAGGTGTTGGAGGACCGAGGCGTGGTGATAATCATGCTGCTTCTGGGACTCGTTGACGGCGGGGGGACAGTTACATCCGCAAGGCCCGCCAGCGTTGGGACGAGGGTGATTTTTAGTTCGACAGCTCATCCAGCGACGACGACGATTTTTTTGCATTGGGAACGCCAGCGCCTACGGACGATGAGAGAGGCGACGGTGACGACAAAGGTCACGGTGGAGGTGGCGGTGACGGCTATGAATCTCCCTCGGCGGCGGCCATCCGAGGCCGAATCCGCGGACGCGGCCAGTCTGCAGACCCCGCGGACGCATCCGCGCGAACGCGCGACTTTGAAGCCACGTGGTGGCCGCGGGAGAGCGACTTTCGAAATTCGGGATACACCACGTGGCGGCGCATCCCCGGCCCCACCCCCCCACACGAAAAAAAAACGAAAAAGGTCAACTTTTGGT